CTCTCTTGTGTCCCATCCCATCCCATCCCATCCCATCCCATCCCATCCCATCCCATCCCGCTGCCGTCACAGCCCCATCCCAAATTCCCCTCTGGGGTTTTGAGCTGGAAGAGCTCGTGGCTTGGAGCAACCTGGGACAGTGGAAGGTGTTCCTGGCCCTGCTGGATGAGCTTTAAGGTCCATCCTCCTCCCCAACCCAAGTCTGGGATTCCCTGATTCCAAAGGGAAACTCCCAAAAAGAGCCCTGAGCTCAAACACAGGCAGCAAACCTCTGTGGATGTTTCCTCCTGCATCTACCAGGGAGGAGGGAGCTATTTCCACTCCAAATAATTCCTTTTGATAGGTAACAAAAAAACAGGAGCTGTTTGAATCCCTCCACCTGGCAGAGGAGGCCAGGCACAAAGGGAAAACCGAACCCTGGGTTCTGTGAGCGCCATGAGAAAACCACACAACCCTTTCCAGAAGACACCAGCAGCAATAATGACTAATAATTAATGCTCACATCAAGCTGAAACAGGGGTCAATGTCCCAGATGTGTCCTGCCACCACGGAATGTGACACAGGAGAAGGGAGAGGTGCAGGGAAAACTCTGTGTGCATGGGCAGGGACACCTTCCACAAACCCAGGCTGCTCCAAGCCTTGGTGCCTTCCAGCTCAGAACCCCTCAGGGCTGCAGGGAGCCTCCCCCTGGACTTTGGGTGCATCCCCCAGCCCAGAGCCAGGGATACTCACGGGTAGCACAGGAACAGGAGGTTGAGGAATGAGTAGGTCCTGAAGAGGTGGATGATGGAGCGACACAAACTCCAGCCTGTGCCCGTGAGGACGGCGAAGCGAGTGACCACCAGGAAGATGGAGCGTGGCAGGGACACTTTGCCACTCTGGGAAGCCTGTGGGACACAAGAGAGAGCTGGGCATTCCCTCTTCTTCAAGGAGAAAACTCAGGGTGTAAAATCAGAGCTCCCAAGGAAGTGTCAGGGACAAGCTAACACCAGGGCAGGGAGGCTTTCTGTGGAATCTCAGTTTCATTCCTCAGGGAGTGAGGGGAGTTTCTAGTTAAGGCCTGGTAGTGCCCAGCACACTCTCCTGGCACTGCTCACCATGAGATGCTTCCACAGTGAGCATCCCTGGCTCTTCCCTGGGGAAAGCTGGAGTGATGGAGAGAGCAGGAAAAGAGCCAAAAGGCAGGAGGGAATCCCAGCCACTACAGTCTGGCTGAGACAGAAACTCAGAGTCAGATAAGGACACAGAGTCAGCAGGAGCAGTGGGCTGGGGAGCTCAGCTCTGTTCTCTGCTCCTCCCACTGCCTGGGATTTTGACTATGGAATATCACAGAGGTCTTTAGGGAAGGGATGGAGGAGTTTGGAGTGACAAAAGTGACACAGAGCTTTACGAAGGACGGCTCTGACTTTACCTCCTTGACCACAGCACCAATGAGCCGCCGTGCCAGCACGATGGTTGTCACTGTCAGCACGTTGAAGTCAATGAGGTGAAAGTTCTGTGGGGACAAAACTAAAATTATCCCGTTTTCATCAGCAGCAGGAACCCACATTCAACACAAAAAGTCCCAAATTATTCTCTTCTCCTTGGACTCTCTTCCAAGAGAATGCCAAGGCAGCAGCCAGAACCCAAAAATGTGGGAAACAGGAGCGGCAGGAGCAATCCTGAAGGGTCAGATGCAATTTTTATCAACCATTATCTCTAAAACTTTATATTTAGCGGTCCAAGAGACAGCCTGGGAGCTCCAGCTGCCCTTTGGTGCTTACCAGGGACGTGTGAGACGGAGGGTGGGAGGGTG